CTTACATATATCCTCTTGCTTTGATAGTAACTTTGGGTTGTTGGTAACTATGCCCAAATGCTTTCTCAAAAAGGATGTTCATTCATTCAAGACAGATTCTTACTCTGTCACCTGGTCTGGCCTTGAGCTGTCCATCCTTCTGCCTCTTCCTCTCAGGTTCTGGAATTTCAGACTTATACCACCATGTCTACCTTCACAAAAGGGAAATTTGGAAACATAGAATTCCTTAACCAGAAACGTGATTGAGGGGCTGGTAAGATAACTCAGTAATAAAGTGGTTGCACCATAAGCATAAGGGCTGAACTCAGTCTCCAGAATTTATCACTAAAAAGCTGATTGTAGCCGGGAGTGGTGGCGCACTCCTTTAATCCCAGCACTTGGGAGGCAGAGGCAGGCGGATCTCTGGAGTTCAAGGCCAGCCTGGTCTACATAGTGAGTTCCAGGCCAGCTGGGTCTACAGGGAGACCCTGTCTCAAAAAGACCAAAAAAAAAAAGCTGATTGTAGGCCTGAGATGACTCAGCAGGTAGAGGTGCCTGCCACCAAGCCTGACAACCTGAGTTCCATGTCTGGGATCTACATAGTATCTCTATGTGTGTGACACACACCCACTAAATTAACAAAAAATGTAATTAAAGATAAAAGCTGAGGTGTTCTAGTTTGTTTCTCCATTGCTGTGACAAAACACTCTGACCAATACCAACTTGGGGAGGAAAGGGTTTATTTGGCTTACATCTCCCAGGTCACAGTTTGTCAGGGAGCCCAAGGTAGGAACCTCTGGGCAGGAACCTGGAGGTAGGACCTGGAGCACAGGACATAGAGGAATGCTTGTTCCTTTGGCCCATGCTCAGCCTGCTTGCTTATACAGCACAGATCAACCTGCTCAGGGGTGACACCACCAATAATGGGTTGGGCCCTCCCACATCACCCAACAATCAAGGAAATACCCCCCAGACAGGACCACAGGCCATTTCAATGGAGGCAGTTTTGCAATCAAGGCTCCCTCAACCCAGGTGTGTCAAGTTGACAACTAAAGCTATCCAGCACATGGGCTAGTGACCTCTGAGCTCACACACATGGGGTGGCATGCGTGTGTCCACAAACAATAAATGAATAAATAAATAATGTAATTTAAAAATAACGTTTTTGAAAGCTGGTTGTATTGGCACACACTTGTAATTCTAACTCCGGGGAAGCAGATACCAGCAGATATCCTTGGGGTTTACCAACCAGCCAGGTTAACCTAATTGGCAAGATCCAAGCCAGTCAAAGAACCCTATTTCAAAAATCAAGGTGGACTATGTTCTGAGGAATTATACATGATTGTCCTATGGTCTCCACATGCACATGTTCCCCACATGAGCACACAAAGAAGCATAGTTGGTTGAGAATTTTGACTTAAAACAGTTTATAAGAGGAAGTACTCATTTCTACAGTAATACAAAGGAATTTTTAGCATGCTGCTTTTGACTTTTAAGATGTTTTTCTATTACATTTGGATTTTTACTGGAGTAACATTCCTTGATTTTGCCTCTTGTTGCTAATCAACGTTTATATTTCTGCAAACAGCTATAAAAACTCCTCATATAGTGTAGTATGGCATTGGCTTTGTTAGAGTAATCCTTGTTCTAATTCATTTATTAGCTTGGGCAAATTATTTTGCTTTTAAGGTCCAGGACATTAGGAATAGAGCTGTTATAGATCCAAATAATATGATGGATAGAGTTTGTTGAAGGAAACAGAACTGAGAGTCTTTTTCTATTTGTCACTCAGTAGTAGGCTTAGCACATGGTTTGCTGGGGTTTATTCCTTGTTTGTTCATTTTCAGACAGGATCGCACTATGTAGTCCTGGCTGGCCTGGATCTTACTGTGAAGGCCAGGCTGGTCTTGAACGCACAGAGATCTACCTGGGATTAAAGGCAGGCACCATCACACATAGCTTTGAACTGTAGTGAATTTAAATGATATATAGCATATAAAATTATTTGCATAACGATTTCATAGTAAGCCTCCCATTAGTATTAGTAGTTGTAATCTACACAGAGGAATAAAATGATGAGGTTCTTCTCTTTCTCTGTCTTCATTTTCCTTTCTTACTTTCTCCTTCCTTTCTTCCCCTCCTTTGTATGGCCAAGGCTGGACTCAAACTCACAGTCCTCTTGCTTCTGGCTCCAGGTATTCGCATTACAGGAATGTGTCATTGTGCATGTGCTACCAACTTTTAATATGATCAATTTTTTTTTATTTTAATTTTTTATTTTATGTATATGAGTGTTTTGCCTGCATATATGTAAGTGCACCGGTTCCATGCAGTACCCTCAGAGGTTAGAAGAGGGTGTCAGACCCCTCGGAAGAAGAGTTACGGACGATTGTTAGCCACCATGTGAGTGCTGGGAATTGAACCTAGGTCCTCTGGAAGAACAGCTAGTGCTCTTAACCTCTGAGCCATCTCTCCAGCTCCCAACCCCCCACCCCCTTTTTTTTCGTTGATGTCCAGTTTGTCTCCCTAACTGTGAGCCTGCTTTGGCATTTGAGTTCCATCTTCTAGAATCATCAGGTGCCTTCTAGGAAAACAGCCTTAAATTTCTTGGGTATCTGATATCTGGTAGTCTCTACTAAGAGGAGATGAGGCAGTAAGGACATGTCTTCAGGAGTGAAAACACGATGAGCAGGGTAGCAAAGTAAGTGTTTTGGGGTCATAGGCACTCCAGAAAGGATGAGCAGTTCTACCATGAACCCCCAGGAGAACTGTTCTGAGAGGTGATTTTGAGTTACTGTGGGATCTCTGCAGAAAAAAAGTGAAAAGTCAAACTTACCATCTCAGGTTTCTTTCCGCCCCTTTGTGAAAGAATAGAAAAGAAAAAATTTGTTTCAGAAATGAAATCAAAAATAAATTCCAGTATTTATTTAGTCCTCCTAAAGCAAGAAGATTCCAAGTTGAAGGCTAGTCTGGGGCTCCACAGTAAGACCCTGTTTTTTTTTAAAAAAAAGAAGAAATTAAGCTAGTTCTGGCAGCAGCTGAGGAGGTTTGTCCTGTATACTATTCCAGCTCGGACACATAGCAAGACCGTCTTCTTTTTTTTTAAGAGGATGAGAAAGAGGGAAGAAAATACTAAAATAGGTAAGAGAACCAGGACCAGGTAAAACATTGCAGTAGATAAAGGTGTTTGCTACACAGTGGGGCAACTATACATATAAAATAATTAAGTAAATAATGTAAAAAATTTAAAATAGACAAAATGATTTGATTTTTTTGTTTGTTTTTAGAAGAAGGGTCTCCCTGTAGCCCCAGCTGACTCGGAACTCACTATGAAGACCAGACTAGCCTTGATTTCACAGAGATCCGCCTGCCTCTGCTTCCTAAGTGCTGGGACAGAAGGCATGTACCACAATATCTGGTGATAAAATTATTTTTTTTTAATATAATTTTTAGGGGATAATTATCACTATGAACTGAGGACCAGGGCTACAAGGATGGCTCAGCATTTAAGAGCTCTACTGCTCCTGCACAAGATCCAGGTTTGGTTCTTAGCTGCTCCCAGCATTTGTAACTCCAGTTCCAGTCAATCTGAGGACTCTTTTGGCCTCCATGGCCAGCAGACATTTGGTGTACATGCATACATGCAGACAAACACTCAGACCCATCAAAGAGCTGTGGACCATAGAGCCTGAAAGCAGCTTTTGTCTTGTTCAGTGAATTGTGCTAAAGATAGATTTGTTAAATGCTTGGAGGAGGGGTTAGTTAATTCTGTGATCTCCCCAAGGTGATTGTTGCCAGTATGTTTCTGTTAACACACCTATGAAGGCATAAAGACATTATCTCTTTGTGCTTAATATGGAAACTTTGGGACTGGAGAGATGGCCCAACAGTTAAGAGCACTGACTGCTCTTGCAGAGGACCCAGGTTCTGTGCCCAGTACTCATATGGTGGCTAACAACCATTCATAACTCCAAGGTGAATCTGAAGCCCTCTTTTGACTTCTGTGCCCATAGCACGATACAGGTATGCTTACACATATGCAAGCAATACACTCATATACATAAAATAAAAATAACAATTTTTTTTTTTTAATTTTTTATTTTTGAGACAGGGTCTCCCTATAGCCCCAGCTGTTCTGGAATGTACTATGTAGACCAGGCTGGCCTCAAACTCAAAGATCCGCCTGCCTCTGCCTCCCAAGTGCTGGGATTAAAGGCGTGTTCGCGCACCACGCCCAGCAATAAAATATTTTTTTAAAAAGACCCTTTTATGCTGAGGCAAAATCCTAACAGAAAGGCTCATCCCTGGCAGTATTTCCTACTGATAGCATCAAGGCCTGTTAAAGCAGGGAAAATTAAACTAGCCCAAGATCCACTACTTTGTTTCTTCAGATGTTTTTGGAAAGATTTATGTGAAAAGAAAACTAATATGTCCCATGTTCCTATAAATTTACATTCTTTAGGAAAAAAAAATTGGATTATTCTTGTCTTGTACCATTGCTCTCTTGTCACCATACCCTGTACCTTTCTGTTTTCAACAGCTATATACATTTTTACCTTTTTTCTTTTCTTTAGCTTTTCCCTTTTCTTTCTTTGAGACAGAGTCTCACTTTATAGCCTTGCCTGGCCTGAACTCACTGTGTAAACAGGCTGGTTCTACCTTCCAAAAGGCTCTAGAGTGCTGAAATTAGAGGCCACCATGCCTTATTTACATGCACATTCATGCTTGTGTGGAGGTCGGGGGACAGCTTGAGGGAATCAGTTTGCCCATCTCACTGTTGTGGGTCCCAGGATCAAACTCAGATTGTGAGGTTTGGTGGCAATCACCTTTACTTGCTGAGCCATCTCACCTGGCTTATTAAATGTGTAAGCAAGGCTGGCCTTGAACTTGTGATCCTCCTGCCTCTGCCTCCTATGCCACACAGCTGGCTTGCTTTTTAACTAATGGGTTTTCAGTAGTTGTTGATGAGTTATCACATGATGTTCTTTATTGACGGTAACATTTCTGGATCCTTTTTGCAGTTAAATCAGAGATCTGAAATTGTTGCTACTAGTTCTGGTGATTTCATCTTGAAGACATATGTGAGACGAAACAAGACTGACAGCTTTAAAACTTTGAAAGGCAACCCAATTGGATTTAACATGCTGAGCAGCAGTAAGAAACTGAGGTATATTTTAAAAGTGAATAAAATTTTTTTAGTTGGAAAAATTGAGATACTGACATTTCACCATAGAGAAGATAAAGAGGAAGCTAAATGGCCTTTGTGGTCAATATGCATGCCCTGTCTCTTTTCTTTTGAATACATGTATAGATGCTTTGAGTCTTGAGTCTTTCTTCCTTTTTTTAAAACACATTTTAAAATTTACTTTTGTGTATGTATGCATGTGGAGGTCAGAGTACAACTTGAGGCAGTTGATTCTCTCCTTCGACTGTGCAGGTCCCAGTATCGAACTGAGTTGTCAGGCTTGGTGCCATCACCTTTACCTGTTGAGCCACCTTGCCAGCTCCAGTCTTATATTTTTAATTTAAATTTAATTAATAGTGTGTGTGCGTGCGTGTGTGCGTGCGTGTGTGTGTATTCGTGTAGGGTGGGTAGTATATATGTGTGTGTACATGCACATTTACCTGTGGATACATATGGAAGCCAGAAGTGAGTGAAGGACATCTTTCTTTTCTCCCTCTCTACTTTTTTTTTTTTTTTTAATTTTCCAAATTTTGTAGCCCTTGACTGGCCTTGAACTCACAGAGTTCCACCTGCTTCTGCCCCTTGAGTGCTGGAATTAAAGGTGTGTGCCACCATACCTGTCCTATACCTTATTTTTTGAAACATGGTCTCTCACTGAACCTGTAGCTTGCTGTGCTGTGTCAGCTAGACTGGCCAGTGAGTCCCCAGCAACTATGTGTCTGGCTATTTATGTGAGTGCTGGGGACCTGAACTCAGGTCTTCATGCTTGCAATAACAAACACTTTACTCACTAAGCCATCTCAGTTCCTTTTGAATCATCAAGTAGGGTTTGATTGTAGTACTTTCTGAATAAAGCATACTGCAAGAAATAGTTTAATATGTGGCATTGTATTTATTTCTTTCATATAGTTAGTATAGTGAGAAACTCAGTCACAATAAGGGTAGTCATACACTCACTTAGAAGATCCTAATTAGGATAATCTCAAAAGGTCTCATTTTTTTTTAATAAAAGATTCCATTCCTCTTCTATTCCAGATAAAACTCTCCTTTCCTAGTGGCTATGGTAGCAAACCATTGTTACTACCCAGGACTGAGCTGTTAATATCAGAAACATCTCCATAAGTAGAGTTGAAAGTCATTATTTTATTTCTGCTCTGTCACTATATAACTGAGATCTACAAATGCTGGCTAGAGGTAGTAGCAGGATTGGAATTTAAGGCTTGATTTCTGTTCTCTATTCCTAATTGTTACTACTGTTTTTCCTTGAAGAGGATTTGAGACATTTGCATTCAGGGAGTCTCCAATGGATAATATATGGTTAATTGAATTTATATATATAATATATGGTTAATTGAATTTATATATATATATATTTTAGAGCAGTTTTTGTGTGCTCAGATTTTAGAGGACTTATTTTGCATATGTGTATGCAAATTTTCTCTGTTCAGATTATTTGGGTTTTGTATCTGCAGTGAAAATACACAAAACACACCATTATGCTCTGGAACTGTAGTTCATGGTAGACGTTTTCATCATGCACATGCACAGATCCCAGCAGTCAAAACAGCAGCTCAAAGGTAAGTGCCTCATTCTCTTTGTGTGTATAATACCATCCTGTTAAGTAGGGCTGGTTTGTTTTTCACTTTGAAGAACATTTTTAGGAGGTGCTAGAGAGCTGGCTCAGCAATTAAGAACAGTTGCTGTTCTTCCAGAGAATCTGAGTTCAGTTCCCAGCACCACATCAGTTGACTCACAACCACCTATAACTGTAGGTCCAGGGGCACCTCCAGCCTCCAAAGGCATTCATGTGCACCTGTACTCACATGCAGATACCCACATACATACCTATAATTAAGCATAAAAAATTTTCTCCCTTGTTTGTTGAACTTATTTACTATTTTCACTCTTTGAAGAGCTGTGTCTCCAAAATAATTCATAACCTGATAAATTTTTGTTATTTTATATTTGATTTTTAGAAAGTCACAATTTTTAGAGAATTTAAAATAGGAACCATTTTGTTGTATTGGTTTCTAGATGTAAGAAGATACTTAATGAAGCTGATGTGTAATATTGATCTTATGATATTAGGCGGAACCATCCTATTGGTAGTTGACCTAAAGAACAAAACTATTATTTTTTTTATTACTTTTCCTACTATGTAAAATTTATAAGATTTCAGACTATCAAGTCACAGTACTCTTAAATGTTTAGTAGTTTTATAAATGTAGTTCTCACTGATGTTGAAAGTACTGTTGCATCCTTGAAACCTTGAAAGTCATAGTTGAGGAAAGTTTAGTCTTTTAAATGCTTTTGATCTTTTGCAGAATTATTTTTGGAATATTAATATTTCAGTTGATTTAAATTCTGAGGCTCTAGAAGTTTGTTATATTATTTTACCTTTTAATAACTGGAAAAATTTATTTTTGGTATACATTTTATATGTTGTCCGTCATTTTTAAGAATATTAGTCTAAGCTTGTTAATCATTAAGAAACAGTTTCAAATCTTAGAAGTTCTTTCTATGTGATATTTATATAGATTTGCTACAACATAGATCTTTGACTTAAAAATTTGAAATTTCTCTCTTGGGGGTTAGAGAGATGGCTCAGCAGTTAAGGGCACTGGCTGCTCTTTCAGAGAACCCAGGTGCAATTCCCAGCATCCACATGGTCACTAATGCCTGTCTATAACTCCAGTTCCAAGGGATCGATGCTCTCTTCTGACCTCCTTGAGGATTGCATGACATGGGTGTACTTAGACACATGCACACAGTACATTCGTATACATAAAATAAAAGTAATATTTTATAATAACATATTTTAAGTAAAAATGAAATTTCTCCTATAATTTAAGATGATTGAAAGAAAACTTGTTTTACTTAAATGTGTTATCCTAGTTTTCACATGAGGCTTATAAGAAAATTTAATTGAAAAGACAGAAGTTACTGTTCACACCAAAAATTTGCTTGTTGTAATGCCAAGGTACACAGACAAATCATGCTCTCTGGCCTACACATGGCATAAACATGAGAATAAAGAATAAAAAAGTTTTAAAAGATGCATGCATGCTTACACCTTGTTCCCACTAGTATAAACTGTTGCTGATAAGATCTTGATACTCTATAAATGCAGTTTAAGTTGAGATACTAATTAAAAATTTATAGCCAATGATTCAAGTATCTGTTATTTTGGAATAACTTAAGCAGGGACATACTCTTCTTTGTCCCTCATTTTTCATTATAATCTTTAACAAAAGATTACAGTTGTGTTTTGTTTTATTCTGAGCCTTGGTCCTTATTGCATCTTGCATGCATTTCATGGCTCATCTTTGTAAATGAATAGATTGAGTTAGTAAGAGCTAGTGTTTATTGGTAAAATATTGTTTCCTAAAAACCAGCAACCTGAATTAATTTGTATTCAAAGACAGTCCCATGCACAAATATTCTACCAGAAGGTTTAGGAGCAGAAAAGGAACTGCAAAGATTTGACTAAGCAGGACAGAGTCTGCTCATGCTGGTCTTAATTGTGTATAAGAATAAACATCAAAGAAGTTTTAAGTTTATTTTTATATGTGTGAATGTTTTACATGCACATAGGTAGTTGTACTATGTTCATGCAGTGCCCTGGAGGCCAGAAGAGGGCGTCAAATTCCCTGGAATTGCAGTTGTTAGCTGCTATATGGGTCCTGGGACCCTAACTTAGGTCCTTTGCAAGAGCAGTCTGTGCTCTTGCAGAGGACTGCTGAGCCTTCTCTCTAGCCCAAAGAATAAACATTTATTTCAGCTGTGGTCTGTCTTTGAGAAGATTTTTGAATTTCAATGACAAGTCATTGAAATATCTTTTAAGTTTTATTCCTTCAAAAGCAAAGTGATTTTACAGTCATAGGGGAGGAATAGAGTGTTGGAAGATGAATATGACTAAGTCTACTCTTGAAGCTTACATTTAATTAGAGGTCAGAAAGACAAATAAGTGAATCCAGGTGTGGTAGTATATGTTTGTAATCCCAGCACTCAGGATTGAGGCTCAAGGAAGAGGCTTGCTGTTGGTTTGAGGCCAGCTTGGGCCTACTGCATAGGGAAACCATGAGGTCCTGGATTTGCATCCTATCACTACCACCCCAGTAAACAAATGATCCTGTGCAAGTTGAGTACTGCAGATATATAATCTATGTATAATACTACAGAGCAGAGATGCCCCACTGGAAGAAGTAATAAAATATTTTTGAGTCTGTCAGGTAGAGGAGGCACTCTGTTGTAGGAGCCACATCGTCAGAGGCAGTTGGCATAGTTGCATGGTCTAAGGGTAAACACAACTGGCTTCTAAAAATTCTCGCATTGCACGACATGGGTGCACTCACATACATGCAGGCAATACACTCATACACATAAAATAAAAATAATAAATATTTTAAAAATTCTCTTAAATTTTTAAAAATTGAATTTAAAGAAATGTCACCAGTTTGGTAATTCACAGAATATTAGAGTTAGTAGTCCAGCTTGGTTTTTTTAAGTCAATCAAACCTGGATGTTAAGTAATGTGTAATTTTTCTTGAAAAATCTAAGACGGAATAAATGAAGGTTGCTAAATATTTCATCAGATTGGTATAGTCTTTGGAAGATAATTAAGTTTCCAAAATATTTTCTTACTACTGTTGTAAATGCTAATTCATATGTTAAAGATAGTTTCATATACTAATAGTAATAAAGGAAAAGAGTGTGAAAAAAATGAAACGCTCTTTCACCCCAGCTTTAATCAGACTCACTAAACTAGCTCATTTTATTGGTTTATGTTCTATTTATGTTTTCCATTGTTTTGTTTTTGGATGGGGAACGTTGGATACAGGGTCTCTCTATAGTACCAGCTGGCCTGAAACTTGCAGTGTAGACCAGGCTGGCCTCAGTCTCACGGAGCTCTGCCTTCTGAGTGCTGGGATTTAAGGTGTGTGCCACCATGCATGGCTACTTTTATTTGAAAGCTTTCAAGAGCAGTTGAAGTTCTTGTAAGAGGAAAATAAATGTCTAAAAAAACCATGTATATCCATTCTAGTATTCAGGATGCTAAGGCACTAGATCACAATTTGAGACTAGTCTGGGTTTAAGACCTTATCTCAAAAAGAAAGTACAATCCATAAATAAGAAAATGGATCTTAGAATAGGCAAGATTAAGTCCTAAATCCTGGCATAGAATTTAATCCATGTCTGTCTTTTTCCTCCCTTTATTTTGCCCCCCCGCCTTTGGTAAGAGTTTTATTTTTAGTTATATGGATGTGTGTCTATGTGGGAGTTTGTACACATGAGTGCAGTTGCCTGTGGATGCCAAAAGACAGTATTAGGCCCCCTGCAGCTGAAGTTACAGATAGTTGTGTGACCCCTGATGTGGGTGCTGGGAACTAAACCTGGGTACTCTGCAAAAGGAGTATGTGGTCTGAACTGCTGAATCCTCTCTCCGCCCTTCCTTTTATTTTTAAGACCATTTATATATCATTACTTGGACTATTCTTTTTGTGTGAAATGGTTCAAAAAGAGTATAAATTAGCATTTCCAAATAGTAACTTCCCTATGTTTTAGTTTCATCCATATTGATATATACATGTAAGCACTTCTGGGGTAAGATTTGATAATGAACATATTGAAGCTTCTTGTGGAATGCTGAGACTTGTAAATTATCTCTCTCTGTGTAATTTTTTTCTTCCCTTCCTATCTCTCTTGGCTTATTGGGAAGAACCACACCTGTTTCTTTTTATCTCTATTCTATATTCTACCCATTTCATTTCTTTAGTGCAGGTGAGTTTTAAAAACAACAAAACAGAGTACTAAAACTCTCCTCACTCTTGGACTCAACAGTATAAAGTTGGAAGTACCTGGATTAGGTATTTAACTTTTCCTAGGACTACAGCTTCATAACAAAGATAAGATAGGATATATTTTAACTTGTATGATTATATTTTCCTTAGTAGTGTATTTTAATTTATGTGTTTATATTTTCTTTAATAGGAATGTGATGTTACCTTGTTTTTCTGTCATTCAGCAGATGAATTTTGTATAACTTTTTAATTACTAAAGAAACTTCAAATATATTAGTGCAAGTTTATGGTTTCTTCACTGTTAAAATTTTTTTTAATGTGTTAAATCTTTTTAAAAAATATTTTATTTATTATTATTTTTTGTGTATGAGTGTATTGCCTGCATGTATGTGAATCCACATGTGCAATGCCTGTGGAGGCCAGAAGAGGGCATCAGATCCCCTGAAACTGGAGTTACAGATAGCTTTTAGCCTCCAAATGTGTTAAATCTTTTGAGTGTCATTTATGAGTTACCACACTTCTTAATGTGCTTGATTACATTGTTGGTTTACTTGTGAACTCCCGGTGACAGGCATGCAGTCCTTAGTGAAGGCATTTGGAGAATTGATAACTGCATTTTAAAAATATTTTATTTATTATTTTTATTTTATGTGTATGAGTGTGTCGCCTACATGTATGTGAGTGCAATGCCGCAGAAGTCAGAAGAGGGCTTCAAATTCCCCTGGAACTGGAGTTAAGGATGGTTCGTAGCCACCATGTGGGTGCTGGGAATCAAACTCAGGTCCTCTGCAAAAGCAGTCAGTGCTTTTAACCCCTGAGCCATCTCTCCAGCCCCGGTAATTGTGCTTTACTTAGAGTTCTGAATATCTAATTCTTTTTATAATGAGCAGTAGTTTCAGAATGTGAGTTTTGTTTTATTCTAAGTTGAAGTCTATAATTTTACTCTTGAGTAACTGACGTTTTCTGGAGTTTCCATGAATTGTGGAAAAAGAGGAACTTTATACACTGGACTTGTGATAAGAGGCCATGATTATAAAGCAAGGCTTTGTCTTGGGTCCTAAATAACATAACTGTCATAAAATAATCTATGTCTTCAAATGGTTTGTAGTTAAAGCTCTTTGAGAATTTTTCATAGTTTTGTGCATCCATCTTTTCCTGTTAAATATATGACTGCTTATATTATTTTATGTTGATAAAAATTGAAAAATTTAAAGCAAGATTTAACAAGTATGTAGATTGTCTTTAAAACAAATAATGACATTAACAGTTTTGCCTTGTTGACTGCAGTGCTTACAACTACAATGACATTCAGCAGTGAGGTCTGGCTCTTACATTTTCTTTCTTTTTCATGTTTTAAGCAATCAGGACCGAAAAGAAAGGTAAGCTTAATATTGATGAAATTAGAGCATGGGTGTAGCAATAAAATACCATATTATATGCTTGGAACATTACGCACTGAATTAGATAGAGTTCATCATTAAAGTTTGTTATTGTAATGAAAGGGAACCTATGAATTGATCATACGTTATGATACTTGGTTTATGGGTGATATATTGGTATAATTCTCAATATATATTATTGTATGGATGATTATTATATATTTATGCTGATGTGTGACTAGTTTCTTTTAAAAATAAAATATTCTGTGTCTTGATAGTAAAATCTCAAGCGGTTAAATTGTCAAAATCTTTCAACTGGAAAGATTTGCTAGAAAGAAGCATGAGGGAGCAGCACCTGAGGCCAGTATGGGCTCCATAGCAAGACCCTTTCTTATGGTTCATTGATAAGGATACTGTTCTCATACAATGTTATGCTTAGCTAATAATCCTGTTTTTATAATATCCTAAGCTTAGAGTTAAAAACTTAAACAGCATGTTTGATTTTGTGATTTAAACAATTCTAACAATTTTACTATTGGCTTTCTAGTCTATCATGTTCTATCAGTATTTGATCCATTTGCAAAATACTGGTGGTCACATAGTGTTAGGAGAAATTTGAATTATGTAAATGACATGGAAAAAGTGTTAAAAGTGTTCAGGAACACATATTTCTTTGAACAGTGAAATGACTGTCTTTGTACTAACTCCAGTGTTTTTAAAGATTACCTTCTCCTTGTTCATAAATCTGGAGGAGTTTTTGTGCTTATGATGCCTTTTATCCTATGGTTTCATGAGATTCCCAAAAGTCCTTTGAGCCCTCCTTTCCCAATTCCCAAACAGTTGAAGAACCTTTGTTAATTAAAACAGGAGTGTCATACAGCTGGTGAGTGCTGAGAAGAATGTCAAAAGAATTGTTTGATTCTATAGGTTCAACTCTGTAATTTTGTTTTAAAGGTGTAGAAGAGATAAAGAGAAAACTGCAAAATTTTATAAAATATATTCCACCTTTATGAACATCATTTCAGAATTACAAACTTAAAGTCAGTAAAAGACTTAAATACACTTATTTTGTTTGTTTTGTTTGTTTGTTGAGATAGGATCTCACTATATAGCCCTGGCTGGCCTAGGACTGAGAGAAATATGCCTGCCTCTGCCTCCTGAGTGCTGGGATACACCACCCCTGGCCCTTGTTTTGAATGACTGAATTCTACAAATATTTTGCTAGTTATGTTCTGGGAAACAAGTAATATTCTCATTCTGTCAGTTTTTCTCTTTGAATAAATCACTGTTTCTTGTTAGATATAGAACAATCACTTTATGCTTTTTAATATTTGACTCGTTTTCTAGGGCTACTAATAAAATTTCTCAATTAAACTGCTGAAAAATATACGTAATTTCATATACTATGAAACAGACCCTTGTTTTGTCTCCTGCATGGTGTAATAATTATAGGTACTTTTATATTAGACAAAAAATATTTTTTTTCACAGTAGCCCTGAAGGGGTTTTGTTGATTTTTTTTTTCCCCCTACTGCCTTGGCTTCTTATGCATATTTTTGTAGTGTTTATTCTTTAGAATGTTCATCAGATATTTAAATGTCTGTGTGCCAGGCACTGTCCTAGTTGTAGCATACATTCTTACTAGACTAACATGAGAGTATTCAGAAGACTGACCAGGAGCCAGTAGGCTCATCATTTGCTATCAAATGACAATACTGACACCTGCCCAGTTTTAAAGGAATTTTGTCAGGAAGAGATAAAATGATTAAACCCTTAATCTTAACTTACACATTGTAATAAATGTAAATTTCTAAACATTAGTAGTTAATAGTATTGAAATTGTTTCATGAAGATTTAACTTTAGAGGTTAAAATTAGATGTGAAGTAGAAGCTGTTTATAGGAAGACGACTGTAACATAAGTGAGAGTGGCCCTTCGCTTTGCTGGGCAGCTTAGTTACTGTTAGGCTGACTTTAGTGTGGCCTCTTTGGGTCCTTACCTAAAACTGTCTTGTCAGATTGTTTATTTGCTTTTGCACATGCTGGGATTTTATTAGTGTGGCCTCTTTGGGCCCTTACCTAAAACTGTCTTGTCAGATTGTTTATTTGCTTTTGCACATGCTGGGATTTTATTAGAGGTGACTACATAAGAGGAAATAGATTTTTCTGTCTTTCCTTCTTTTTGATTTGAAACCAGAACCTTGAGCTCCTCAAGTGTATGTTCTACCACTGCCACTAGCCCCTGGAATTGTGATAATATGTCAGTGCAACAGAAATGTCCAAGGGGAGTAAGGTTGAGAGAGAAAGTGTCTGTTTAGCACCAGGAGAAAAATGCAAACAAAAGAAAATGACTAGAATTTTAATAGCAGATGAGATGGAATCAAAGATAACTAGTAGTAAGCAGCTTGTAAGAGTGTAAGAAGTAAGTGGATGAGCACCTCCAAAATACTTCAGTACGAGAAGTTCTTGGTAGGGGAAAGTTGGGAAGATGATCATACATCTTTGAAAATTTAATTGTTTTATCACGTAAAATGAGTGGAACAATGGATTTTAGCTCTAGGAAAAATAAATTTATTTTTATGAAAATCTATACATATGTGTGTACACATGGTGTTTCTAAAGTAATGGAAAGACTAATAAAAAGAGCTGCCATTAAAGCCTAGCTAAAAAGAAAAATCAAAGCAAAAACAGTACCCAGATTTGGTTCCTTTGTTTTGAGTCAGGGTTTCATGTAGCTCAGACTAGACCAAAACTCCCTGTGTAGCAAAGATGCCTTGCACTTGTGGTCCTGCTGCATCTGCCTCCCCAGTGCTGGGATTACAGATGTGTACGCCTGTACCCAGCTTATGACATGTTGGATATCAAATCCAGGACTTAGTGCATGCTAGGTTAAAAAGTCAACGTACTGGGCTACATCTCTAACCACACATCTGTATGAAATACCACTGTCCAGTAAAAGAAATCACTGATTCTAGGGTAATGTTAGGACGAAAATAAATGATTGTGGTGTAGAAATCAAGAAATTACACATACACACATACATACATACATACATACATACATACATACATGCAAACAAACAAACAAACAAGTTTGCTTGCTTGGGGGCTAAAGCGGTGGCTTAGCAGTTAAGAGCACTAGCTGCACTAGCACTAGAGGACCTGGGTTCTGTTCCCAGCACCCATGTGGCAGTTAACAACCATCCTAACTCCAGTTCTAGGACATCCAATGCACCCTTCTGACCTCCATGGACATTACAGACATGGATGCACTTGCATACATGCACACTCATACACATAAAAAATAATAAAATATTTTTAAAAAAGATTGCATGCTTAAGCAGCACATATACAATTGAAATTATTTAGAGATTAATGGATGGCACACACATTAGTGAAGTAGTCCTTTTTTAAAAACTAAATTTTCTTATATTTTACCATAACGAAAAAGAAGATAGGACCACACCAAAAGGACACAGAAACCACATGGAGGAGCTCTCAAGGGCCAAAACTGAAAGAGATTACAAAGTGTATTGGTATATCATGAGATTAATGATACAGATGAGCTAGTATTGAACAAGTAATACAGCCTTGTAATGAACATTACTTAAACTGATACTAGATGTGCTGATCAAACTTCGCAAGTTCTGTAAAATGAACCGGGAGACAACTTCTTAGTCATTCTAAGTTAAATGTGTTCACATTGCTACCCTTTGAGTATAGATTGAATTTACTAATTTGCTGCCAAGTACAGCATGGAAATTAAAAAAAAAAACAAAAAACAAAAAAACAGAAAAACAACAACCCCCTTCTATCCCCAATGGTAGTTTTAGAGCAGAGAAACCTGATAAAGATTACCTTGGACTAGAGGCCGAGGTTGGCTAGGTATGATGGTTCATACCTGCAGTCTCAGCACCCAAGGGGCTGAGGCCAGAGGACCCAAAGGAGTTCAAGGTCATCCAGGGCTGCAGAGTGTAACCTTGTTCTAAAAAAATAAAAGTAAGTCAGATATGATGTCGCACTCCCTTAATCCCAGCACTTGGGAGGCAGAGACAGGTGGGTCTCTGTAAAAATTGAGGTCAGCCTGGTCTACATAGTGAATTTCAGGCCGGCTGGGGCTACAGGAGAAACCCTGTCTCAAAAAGAGCATTAAATAAGTCAGTTAATTAATTAAATCTGGGGGTGGTGTGGCGCCTTTAATCCCAACACCCGCCTTTAGTCCCAGTACCAGTATAAGTGAAGACTAAGGTAGCAGGACTACCTAGCTAGACCCTGTCTCAAAGAGCAAAACAAACACCAAAACTACCCCCCCCCTTTTTAGAGACAAAGTTGTGTGCTAATTAATTTTGAGTTTAAACTATGTAGCCCAGGATGAACTTGGACTTCTGAACCTGCCTCTTCCTAACAAGTGCTTGGATTATTGGCATCATACCCCCACCTGGCCTGGATCTCATTATGTAGACTGGGCTGACCTCAAACTCACAGAGATCCCTCTGCCTCTGCTTCCTGAGCCCTGGGATTAACACTGAGCCACCATGCCTGGTTTGGTTTAAAGTTTTTTGTTTTTTGTTTTTTTGAAACAGGATGTCCCTATAGCCCCAGTTGGCCTGGAACTTACTCTGTAGCCAGGCTGGCCTTGAACTCACAGAGATCCATCTGCCTCTGCCTCCCCAGTGCTGGGACTAAAGGCTGTGCCACCACACCTGGCCCATTTTTCCCAAGTTTTAAAGGGATAATCAAATTCAAGACTACTTTCAGTCTTAGCTACAGTCCTCTCTGAACCGCAGGTTGAAAGTAGACTTTCATTTTCTTCTTTTTACTTTGTTTTCACTAATTCTACATTACACATTTATTGCTTTTGTAAAAAGGAAAAAATATATACATATGCATATGTATGAAAAAGAATGCGGCCGGGTCTGGTGGTGCACGCCTTTAATCCCAGCACTCGGGAGGCAGAGGCAGGCGGATCTCTGTGAGTTCAAGGCCAGCCTGGTCTACATAGTGCTGGGACTAAAGGCAGGCGCCACCATGCCCAGCTAGTTTAAAATTTTTGATTTATGTTTTACAGTGCTGGAGATTGAACAGAGGAGGGCTTTGTACATGCTAGGCAAGTGCATGTACAAAGTACATGTACAAACACATCTCATCTACATCCCAGCCTGAAAATGTCATTTTAAAGAAAATAAGATTATGAATAGAAAGTTAATTCAATAATTCAGTTCTCTTACCAAAGAAAGAATATAGTTTCACATTAAAAAACCCAATCAGGCTCTGCTTCCTGTACCTGTATGTGCGCACTCTGCTTTCTGTCCTGGCCACCTCCTGCTGCTTTGCCTTCCCTGCCATTGCCGACTCACCCTCTGGAACTGTAAATCAAATTCTTGTGGGCCAGTGACATGGCTCAGTGGGTAAAGGTGCTTGCCTCCAAGCTTGACAACCCAAGTTCAGTGTCTGGGACACGTATAGCGGAAAGAAAGGACAGACTCCCTCAAGTTTTCCTCTGACCTACACACACACAAAATGAATGAATAAATTTTCTCAAATTTATATGACTCACTGGTTAAGAGTGTTTGGTGCCCTCGCAGAGCATTCAGTTTTGATACCTAACACTCACATAGTGATTTATCCCATCTGTATAGCTCTAGGGGATTCAGTACCTTGTACTGGCCTCCATGGGCACCAGACACACATGTGTACACACATACACACACACACACACATACATATTGAGTCTATACACATACAGTTTTTTAAAATTTTATATTAAATTTAATAAAATTTTTTCTGCAACTTATAATTAAGAGCAGTTTTTCTATTTATATAGGAAAGCATTCAGGAAAATTTGAAAACAGGGTGGCTCTAAAAGTCAAATATAGGCAAATATATATAATATAATTAAAGTGTATGCCATGTATTCATCCCCATACTAATCCTCTTACTAATCATGGCACTCACATAGAGGGTTAACTTCTCAGGATGTTTATGCTAGTTAATTTTTCTGAATAAGCCAGGACTTTAGGCCTGCCCTAGTATAAGTAACAAGCAAATTAAAACAGAAAGGTAATCTATATTTTCAGACTTTGTGGATGCCCTATGGCTGTCACATAATTGTGTTTTATTAAGTAATCTTAATATTTCAAAATACTGT